AGTTTGTCTTTCCAAAGAATTTGCAGAAATATTTTCAACTTTGTAACAATCGGTGCTATCAGTCCGAGAGGGTCGTAGAACTTGGCAACGGCCGATAAAATCGATCTTTTCGTTGAACCGCTTTCTGTCATAGTTCCAGACAATGAGAAAAGCAAGAGATCCGATTTTGCATCCCAATATAAGCCGAGTGCTTTGTGGACATCAGTTCCATCATGAAATCTAAGCGTTTTCTCGCGATCAACTTCTGGCTCGCCTTCTAAAGCTGCTGCCTCATTTGAACCCCATTTTCGAATTGGAAAATGACCCTTGGATAGCAATTCCTTCACCTGCTCACGAATTTGAGCTGCCTCCTCGATCGAGTCACCTCCAGATATGAGATCGTCTACATAAAAGTCTCTTCCAACTATTTTGGCTGCCAACGGGAACTCAGCTTCCTCATCATAGGATAGCTGCTGCATAGCACGAATTGCCAGAAATGCAGCCGGCTTAGTGCCGTAGGTAACCGTATCGAGCGTATAAGCCTTGACTTGTTGATTTGGGTTGTCACGTCATAAGATAGACTGCAAATAGTTTTCAGGGCTAGTGACACGGACACATCGATACATTTTGCAGATGTCCCCGCATAATGCAACTTTGAAAAAACGAAAACGAAGCAGTGTGTTGAAGATTTTGGGCTGTATTGAGGGACCTGCAAACAACAAATCATTTAAAGAGTATGCTGAGGTCGTTTTAGCTGAGCCATCGAATACAACTCGTAACTTTGTGGTTGCACTATCTGGCTTCTGCACACAATGATGAGGCAAGTAATATTGCGAGGCTACTGATTGCTCAGAAGCAAGTGACATATGCTGTAGGTCGATGTATTCTTTGATGAATGCAGCGTATTGCGACTTCAATTCCACATCCTTGAGCAATTTGCCCTCTAGCGTCTTAAATCGACGTAAGGCACGACCGTAAGAATCACCGAGCATGTCAAAACTGGCTTTGGCAGGCAAACGAACTGAGTATTGCCCTGAACTGAGTCGAGAAAAGGTATTCTGGAACAGCTGCTCGCACAATACATCTTCATCAGTTGCGACAATTGGAGATCCACAGAAGCTGTCGATTTCCCAAAACCGTTTGACAATGTCTGGCAAGGAATCGGTTTCCGATTGGATGACGGGCTCAGTGGTCACTGCAAGTGCTGAACGCTTCATGTTTGAGAACGAAATCCCTCCAGATGCTATCCAGCCAAGACGCGTTTTTTGCAAAATGGGCAGATTTTCGGCTAATCGCATTTGCCCAACACAAAGCAATTCGCAAAAGATGCCAGCTCCTATTAACAAATCGATACGCTGACTACTGTAGAACCACGGATCAGCAAGAACAAGATTTGATGGTATGTTCCACCCTAGGGCGTTTAAATCAAAATGAGGCTGATAATCCGTAATTTTGCCACTAATTACTGCAGTCAGTGCTGTACGATATTTTTTATCCCTGGAGTGTGCTTCGAGATCGACGGTTGCATTTGATGAAAATGATGATTCACCAACTCCAGAGATAGATGTGTTTGCTTGACGAGTAGTGAGTTGCAACTGCTTAACGAAACGAGAAGTGACGATGTTGATTCGAGCACAAGAATCTAACAAGGCTCTGCAAGGGATAAATGCACCAGATCGATTTCTTATGTATACGATGGCAGTGGCAAGCAGCACATAATCGGTCTTACTATCTGACGAGACAACAGGTGGAGCTTCAGAGAATGATGATGATAAAAGCGAAACGACATTTTGAGTGTTAGTAGTGGTAGTTGGAGGAGAGGTTGTGGCGATGGCATTAGAATCGATGTGAAGCAACGAATTATGCTTCGAATGGCAGCGTTTCCCTATATCGCAAGGTGGGACTGAAGTTTAAAAACTGAGCGCATTTAGAAATGAAATGATCTCTACTTTCACACATGCTACATTATCGAATCTTGAAACTAATAATTCAATAGCCTTTTCATAGTTAGCTTCCGTGGGCTCCAGTAAACGAATTGTGTCCAATGCTGTACCATCCAAGCATGACCGAAGATGCTGGAACTTTTCCACGTTGCTCAGGTCATCATTACTCCCCACAATGGTGTTGTACATTGCGTAGAAATCAGGCCAATCGATATAGGCACCGCTGAACCTTGGCAACTTGAACTCTGGGAGTCTTGTGGCACGCGCAGCGGGTCTCGAATCACCACCGACATGTGGAAGGGCTGTAGAATTCACGACTGAAAATCTACACTGCTTGCCAAGCTCACGTGAAATTTGCGATTTTACAGCGAGATATATATTTGCGAACTTTGACCGAACGTCACTGCAGAGTTCATGCAAGTCTAACCTCTCGACTGAGGTTTGACTTTTATCAAAGTCCACTTGCATTTGATCCACAAAATCAAGTCGCACTTGAAGATCAGTCACGTCGAAGTTGACAGCCTCTTCTGACTCCAGGTAGCTTTTCAAAGGTAGCATCAGCCTTCGCTTTATAAAAGTCCAAATCACTTGGTACCGCCTCGGATCTTGCACCAACCGAATCATTTTCAGCCATGGCTCCTTTCAAAAAGAGTATACGAAAGTCACAATCACAGTAAGTTGCATCACTGTACTAATTCTCGATGCAAGAGAGACGAAATGTCGACGAAAATGCAACGGAACAAATTCGTAAGCGTTCACTGAACTCCTTCAACACGGTTTTTATATGCACTGCAATTTATATAACCAAGATCAAACGGTTGCTATGTATATAACAAGATCACGAAGAAACGCGCCAACTAATACTCAAATACATGCATATGTATGTGGGACATTCTTTAACAAACCGTACGGATTCGAGAAAATTTTTTTTTGCATATCTCAGAATTGAATGAAAATTTTTTTTCAGCTTCTATGGAAGATTTTATTCGACACGTGTAAAAGGATTTTACTCAAAAAAAATAGTTTTTTATTTATTTTTTCTATATATTAAATATATTATCTCCGCTTCCAGTAATCACATCATAAAAATTTTTTTTTTTCAATAGGTATTAATGTTGCCGTTCAAGTTTTTTACTTGCAATTTTTTTATTTGTTCAGAAAAAAAATTATAAACAATTTAATGGTTTCAAAGCTGATCCCCACAACATATATAATTAGGAAAATTACAATTTAATTCTATACGTCATTCTTAAAAAAAACACTTGGATTTAGAGTGGGGTCTCTATTAGGTAATAAGATATAAAATAACATTGATCGCGCTGCGGCAGCATGTGGAGCGCGCGCTGCGGGAAGAGTCGAAAATTATTTAATTTCTCTTGATCTGATGAAGACCCCACTCTAATTCCTTTTACTGTTTATTAAGCGAAACATAGGGATAATAAATTGATTTTTTCAATAAAATAAGTTGTGGGGATCGGCATTGAAATGTCGATATAATGATTAATTTGTTACTAATAAATAAATAAAAAATTAAATTAAAAAATAAAATTACTTTTTGAAAGCTGAATTCTTGAACTAAATAATAGAAAAAAATTGTGGGGGGGTAAGGTTTTAAAGGCCAAAAAAAGGGCCATGTTTGATTTTTTTTTGCGGCGAAATGAATAAATTTATTTTTTTGAGCTTAATCACATTTAATTTTTCAACTTTTGAAGAGTATTAGAAAAAAAAATTATTAAAAAATATTTAGAAATAAGATTGTGGCGGTTAATCTTCCGAAGCGCCCAAAGAAAAAGTTGTTTTGCGGTGAACACCATAGGGCGTTAACGGATCATCTTAACAAAAAAAAACGTGATATGCGTTGTAAAGATAATGAATTTCCCGAGGTAATCAGGAAGAGTTATTTTAAAATTTATTTTTTGTCTATTTTTGGGAGCACTTGAAAGTGAAATGTGCGATTTTAGCTCAAAAAATCTCTGTTAATTTATTTTTTGAAAATAGAAAAAAATTAAAAATTAAAAAAATGTCTTCCTGATTACCTGCGTATTTATGTTGAGAATTTGTGTTAAAAATTTGAAAAGGATCGGTTCAGTAGATTTTGAGTTCTGATGTTCACCGACTTTCAAAATAACGTCTTCGGCAAAATCGATTCAAAGTATTTTTATACGCGAAAATACGTCCAAATTCGGTAGTTTAAAACGCTGTAACTCCGTTAGTTTAACTTTAATTGACTCAAAATTTGTACACAATGTTCTCGACATATTAATCATTCAGAAAAAAAAAAAAAAAAAAAATGTAAAAAAAAATATTTTAAAGCGGAGTCGTTATAACAGGATTCTACTGTATTTGCATTCTTCACTTAGATATGTACTTATCGAATTGTGTTTATAAAACCTGTCACACCTATTTTTACTCTCACCAGTTCTGGTGGGCGTGTACACTTTTCTGTTTTAACGTTTTGATGGCACAGACTTTTTTTTATGATGTGAATTCTGGTAAAAAATACCAACCTGTCCGCCTTTCTGTTCAAATGTCGAAAAAATGGAGATTATAGTCGTGAATACACAGCCAAAGACATATTAAATGAAGTTGCACTCTCGCTTTATCCGTTTCTAAATGTTATGGCTGAAGTGCTGTTTTCTAAAATCGTCTAGTTATGAGCATTTATTGTTGTCTTTTCCCACCTTCAACACACAATATGTATATTATGAGAAATCCAAATTGTTGTCCATGCAGACGTGTGTTCTTCCAGTTTCTTATCTATCCCTCTGATACCCTACCAAAAGTTGTATAACTATTGCAGGTTGTATCTAAGTCGAAACGACATGTATCGTTGATTTTTTTTATCATATAGTCATGATTTTTGGTAGCCGGTGTTTTCAAAAGACTATTGGATTTAATTTAAGTGTAATGACTATATGGTGCAGGTGCTACGAGAAAGGTCGAACAAAATTTTTTTGTTATATCAAAAGTTTTGTCACTTTTTGACCTGCTCTTACTTTTTTTTTATTAATTATGCTTAGTTGTTGAAATTTATTGCAAAAAGGTTTAAAAAAAAAAAACATTATTTTATTTTTCTAGATAAAGTTTCCTCAATTAAGGGATTCTGGAGTCTATGAATGCCAAGTATCGACAACACCGCCAGTGGGATATACCATGGTATTTTCTGTTGTAGGTATGTCCTTTTCTTCAGTACAGAATTTGTGACCCAACTTTTTTGATTACTACTCAAACCACGTTATCACTACTACTCAATTGAGTTTTTTTAAAAACGGCTAATAAATAAAATTTTTTTCAAATATTTTTTTAATGTTACATAAGTGCTTTTATTTTTTTTTAGTTTATTTTTATGTGGTAACCTAATACCGAAACAATTAAGTGAACCAAAATCTCTATGAATTGCTGTGCTGCGATGTTGGCTTTATTCCAACAGAAATGTAAACTTTATGATAATTTCGGCTTAATTTTGCCATTTAAGTCTGTTTGGTCCAGCCCAAACAACTAAAATAACACCCTTTTTATTCTCCATAATAACCAAAAACTATTGTAAATTGCCCAGCGAGGTAATTCTCTTAACCATCGCTTTGTCTTTCGCTTATAACTTATCACTTCTTACTTCTTTGTTAAGCTCATGCAGCTGCATTGGCGAAAATAGTTAGTCAGTCGTTTCTAGATCGCTGCCTTTAACGCTCAAGCCAATTCGGGTTTGTCTGCGCACCTTTTCGTTTTGTTATGCCGTCGCCCTCGTGCCGCTAATTAATAAATTATTGTACTTAACAAACAGAAGTGAACTTGAAATAAACTGAACTATAACGCTTAAAAATTCTTTGTTATAATTGCCATTGGAGTTAACCAAATTAAATTCATAAAACTAACTCTTTGTGTTCTCTCGCCAAAAAATAGTTAGTGAAAAAGCTCGCTAACTCAACATTTTTGAGGCCCCGGCGAGATAATCACAAATATTCAAAGTGAATTAATTATAAATTAATACATACTGCATCGGTGTAATTCGGAGGTCATTGGCCGAGTAACATTTTGCCCTCTACCAAAGTATAAAACACTTCTTCGCGGTTTTCTGTGCAGTTCTCGCTTGCGGTACTATCGTGTGTTTTTTCTCCCTTTCTCTGCTACGTTCGTTTGGTTATACAAAGGGTGTCTTGCGTTGAGTGAAACATGTCGATAGAAGACAAAACCCTTTCGTCCCAAACTCAAGCTATCTTTATTAAGCTTAAAGCCGAATCAATTTGGAAACGTGCCGAAACAATTAATAAGCAATTAACAATGGAAATGCTTAGAGGCATGTGTGACAATGATCTTAGTGTGCGAGAAGACCTTGTTAACAAATTAAGTGATTGTTTTTGCCTGGCTCATGACAACTTAGAAAAGGAAGACTATAATTAAATCGGTAGCCCATTACGAGATAATTTCGAAGAACTTATAGCCACCCTAAAGGTCCGCTTCCGTTCAGAAATTCGCAAACGCAATTCGACTGCGCCTTTATCCTCAAAACTTCGTGCAGAAGATTCATTTTCGTCTCATTCGATTTTTGTAACTCAAAAATCTCGATTGCCGGATCTTAAACTCCCAACATTTAGTGGAGGCTACACTCAATGACCCGATTTCCATGCCATGTTTTCGACGATCATCGACAAGGATCCTGGCCTTTCCAACATTGAAAAACTGCAACATCTGCGCTCCTGCCTCAAGGATGGGGCCATTGACACCATAAAACCACTGGAAATCTCTGACAGCAACTACAGTATCTCTCTTGAAGTATTAAATAATAGATTTAATTATAAAAGCATTGTTTTTCAGGCACAAGTTGCACAAATCTTTGGCCTAAAGACGATCGAAGCTGGGTCAATTGGCAAGTTGAGAGAACTCTCTGATAGGTTTATCAGTCACATGCCGGCTCTTCAAGCATTGGGCGATCAAGACCAAATTGCAAATTGCAAATTGCTTCACTGTTAAAGCCTTGGTGCAAAAGCTAGATCCATCTACCCAAGCCAAGTTGGAGGAATCGTGCCCTGTTGATAAAATACCTTCGTGGGAGGAGTTTTCGAAGTTTCTGGAAAGACGTTTCCAGACGCTAGAGAATGTGGAGCTTGCCATGGCTACCCATTCATCCAGCAACTCATCTGGAAGGCAAAATCGTTCTAACAAGGCCCTTGTAGCCGCCAGTCCATCACAATGTCGATTCTGTATCGATACCGGCCACTCCATATATACGTGCACGAGATTTGGGAATCTTTCCCCACCACTAAGGCTGAAGGAAGTAAAAAAATGTCCCTGTGCATAAATTGCCTTAAAGACCGGCATCAATTGCGCTTGTGCAAGTCTAGCTGTTGCAGGAAATGTGGATCCAAGCATCATTTTCAACGTCATCTGCAGTAATATAATATTGCTCAAGGTTCTTCAAATCAGTATTCACTGGCTTGCACGCTGCCCTCTGACTCAGTTTCTTCCTCTTTCGAAGGACCTCAAGTTTGCAACTTTGTGCTCTTGGCAACTGCAAATGTTTTTGTTAAAAACAGAGCTGGTAGTTCAATACCTTGTCGTGCCATACTTGACTCAGGTTCGCAAGTTCACATTGTGACATCCAGATTCGTGCACCTCCTTCAGCTCAAAAGGATTAAATCTGCTGCCGCTGTATCTGGTCTTGGAGATTCTAGTTTCAGAACTACAGGCTATGCTGTCCAGCTGAGTATATCATCCAACTCTACCAATTACTCTGCAAGTATTGAAGCATCCTCCATTGTCAACGATCAGCCTGATTTCAATTTCGACTCATCGCCATGGAATATCCCATCAAATCTACCATTGGCTGACCCAGAATTCAACAAATCGAAGAGGGTTGACCTTCTCATTGGAGCAAGTTTGCTCTATGATTTGTTATGTATACAGATCAAGCTTGGCCCCCATCTTCCCATTCTTCAAAAAACTCGACTTGGATTATTATTAATTAGAAGCCTGTCCTTTGGGAGGCTCGAAATACACCAAGGAAGAAACGGAATGCAAAGAGCATTTCCAAAATACGGTCTTTCGACTACTCACTGGTGAATATGAAGTTCAGCTTCCAAAAACTGGAAAAATCTATGGAATTGGCGAGTCATACCAACAAGCATGTTCAGAGGAATGCAACTAATTTGTTGCTACCGCTTTGTGCACTTCCAAAAAAAGGCCAATGTTTGTGATTTAAATGAGATGTGGTTTTATATTTGTGTCTCTGAGTGTTATTTGTTTGTTCTTGTGTACAATGTTCTTGTGTTTTGCGTATACAAGATCGCGACCGACAACTTGCTTGCGAGGGTTTTGCGAGATCGAAACGAAAATTATGTAAATCGGTTAAGAGTTGCGAAAAGAAGTGATGATAAGGAAGATAGATAAAACAAGATAAGCAAAGTTAGGCGCGATTGCAATTATGCGGGTGTTGGTAAACAACTTTACGTTTACGTTACATTATCAGTTGGACATTTGAATTTAGGATAAAATTTACAAATTAGGGGTTCTGCTCCGAACATGCTCCCCCCGCTGGAAGAGTCACGCTGACAGACGAGGTGGTCTCAAAGGGCAGAACGGCCAACTTGCCAACAGCTCTTCGGATGATGCCTGCAGCTGTTCGAATAACTGCAACACGGGCCACGCCATCTGGTCCAAGTACGATGCTCTCAACTCTGCCCATGCGCCATTGGAGTGAAGGAAGATTGTCGTCCTTAATGATGACTATACTGCCGGGCGACAAATTTGCCTTTTCTGATCGCCATTTCCCACGTTTCTGGAGTAGCGACAGGTAGGCAGTGCTCCACTTGTGCCAAATCGCCTGCTGCATCTGGCAAACTCGCTGCCAGCGACTTAGCCGATTGATGTTGAGGTGGGTGATGTCGGGTTCGTCTATGTCGTTGAAAGCAGTGCCAATAAGAAAATGTCCAGGCGTGAGAACCTCCAAGTCGCTAGGATTTTCTGAAATTGGGCAGAGTGGTCGAGAATTAAGCATGGCAGACACTTCGCAAACGAGAGTACGAAGTTCATGAAAAGTTAAAACCGATCTTCCAACCACCCTATGAAAATGATATTTGGCTGCTTTTACTGCGGCCTCCCACAAGCCACCAAAATGAGGCGAGCGAGGGGGTATGAACTGCCAATTAATTCCATTAGACAACAGGTCATTGCGAAGCTCGATATTTGGAGGATCAGCGAGGAAGATTTGCCTGAGCTCCTGCAACTCGTTTCTCGCACCAACAAAGTTTGTTGCGTTGTCCGACCAGATCGTGTTGGGCTTGCCCCTGATGCTGGTGAAACGCTTGAGAGCGGCGAGGAACGATGCGGTTGATAAATCCTCTACTAACTCCAATTGAGAGGCCTTAGTTCCGAAGCAAATAAAAACTGCCACGTAACACTTCGCAGGCGGTCGATTCCTGACTTCCGATTTCAAGAAGAATGGGCCACAAAAGTCGATTCCAGTCGTTGTAAAAGGACGACTTGGTTGCACTCGGCTGGCCGGCAAGGGGGCCATGATGTGTTCCCTCATTCTCGGCTTCAGTCTGAAACACCTGATGCATTTGTTAACGATAGCTGCGACTGTTTTTCTGCCTCCAATTGGCCAAAACCTCTGGCGCAAGGCAGCTAGTAGACTTTGCGGTCCTGCGTGCAAAAACTTGTGATGAAAGTGAGCGACGATTGCTTGAGTGACAGGATGATCCTTTGGCAGCAAAATGGGATGTCTCGCATCGTAGTCCAGAAGCGAGTTTTGCAACCGACCACCAACATGAATTAATCCTGAGTCATCCAGAATAGGATGCAACGACGAGAGCTTGCTATTTGATGCAACCTGCTTGTTCTTTCGCAATGCTTTGTAGTCCTCTGCGAAGAAAACACGCTGGATCCCTTTGATGAGTAGATGTGTGCCACCTTTGACGTCATCGACTGTGAGTGGTCCTTTGCGACGCGTTTGATTTTGGAATTTGAGAAGCCAGAACCGGTATATATATCCAAAAACTCGCTGCAGCTTTCCAAATGAGTTTTGAAATTGGCAATCGTATGAGATATCCTGCTTCTCGGTTACAACTAAAACCATGCGACGACGTTCAGGCAAGTCGTCCACAATAGGCGCTATGTTTGGCCAGCACGATGAATCCGAACGTAAAAATGGAGGTCCCTCTCGCCACAGGTTCGACT